TCCCTAATAAGTATGCAAAAAACTCTTAAACGGTTTTTATTAGCTGGTGGCGGTGGTGGCTGTACTATCCACCTGAGACAGAGGTGTGTCTAGTGTGGGATAAAGTACTGAGGAATCAGAATCAAAACGTTTGTCTCCGAACAGAAAAAGATACAGATGTAAGATCAAGAAGGTTAAATCGAACTCCAGTAAGCCACGATCTGCAAAGACCAGAAACAAACTCAGCGTGGAAGGCAGGAACTGCTGGGAAACGCCCGGCCTGGTTTCAGGAGCTGTAACCCTGCCAACAGGCTGGGGGGCCCCAAGGAGGGAAATACTCAGGAGGCCTTGGGAAAGCAGGCTCCTGAGGAGAGTTGGCCTGCCCCCCCTACAGGGGCGTAGCCCCTGCCTCTCTGCTTTGCCATGGATGGCCAATGGCCAATGACAGGTAAGGGACCTCGTGCTGAGGTAAACAACCTAAGACAGCTACTGGCTGATATAGGCAGCAGACAAGAAATTGGGGGACACAGAGAAGGTGCAAAAAGGCCCCCGTACCTCTTGGCTTGGCTTGGACACGGCAAGAGTCCTCTTTGCAGCCGAGAAGCAGTCTCCTTACCCCTTGGTGGCCCCCCCCCCCCACCAGCTCAGGCTTGATACAGTGCAGGAAAAACAGCCCTAAATCAGGTCTGGCGGGTCCGGGGCAATCAGGCCTAAAAGTAAATTCTTTGGAGTGTGCTCTGTTCCTCCCTCAGATCTCTGGCCGGCTCATGCTGCGAAGGACCTTTACTTACACCCCTTACCTTGTATCGTTAAGACATTTACTTTATTTACACTGCTTACGCTGTATCTTTAAGGTGCCTTTAAGTCTACTTTCCCCTTATCTATCGTCTCTACTGTCGATTCTAGTCTCCTCTCAGACCCCTGCAGATCAGTGTGCTCCTGGCACTCATCTTGTTAAAAGCATCATATATTCACTGTGAAACTTTCCATACTGATGTAATGAGGTATGCATTCCTGTTACATACCCCACCGATAAGCTTTTCAATAAAAGCCTTGGAACAAAGGGCGACGAGGCTTCCCCACTGGAGGGAAGGGCCCCCGTCTGCTCTCCCGGCAAGGAGAGAAGTGTTCGCTCCGTTTGGTGTTTGTCCCCCTCATCCCTGACAACCCCGGCACGGCCTCTGCGGGTTTCAGAGCCCTGCTCCACCTCAGCTGCCCCCCGGGTTTCCCTCAGGTTCAAGGGGCGCTGCGCTCTCTCCAGCGGCGAGCCCCTAGAGCCGACCCCAGGCCCCAGACTGTGGTCACGAAGTTCGGTTTTTCCTTTGGAGAGAGGGGTGACCACGGAGCTGGGACAGGAAGCGCACAAAACGGGCCCAGTGCGGTCTGCGCCCCCCCTGACGGGGCACGCGGAGACTCTTCCAGTTGTGTCTAAAGGGTTTAGGAGCCATTATTAAAAACGACAATAATAAAAAATTTTAAATAAAGAAAAGGATTCAGGAACCAATTTGAACAGATTCCCACTGGACAAAGATCGGATAATCTGAGAATCAATAAGGAGAGTAACTGCAGCAGATTGAACCACATCAAATGTGCTTAAACCCATGAGTTCACGACGATACAAACACATACACACAACTCGCTGGCTGCTCCTGGAGGATGCCAACTCATTATTTTGAAAAATAGTAAATAATGGAAAGGTATTAAGTATTTATCCTGCCTTTCCCAAAGGAGCTACAATTTAAGGTAACAAAATTATGGAGGGGAAATGTTTCTTTATAGGAGCATTCCAGCTAATAAATGAAGTTACAGAATTAAAATGTCCACATTTTCAGTGCCTAATGAACTAAGGACTCTAAGGCTTGAGCATCAAGGGCTGCTAACAAGACTATTAATCCTTATCTGCCTATTCACCTATGAAGTCTTCTTACCAAAAATAAATCAGCCCTGAATCTGATTACACCTTTAAATGTAACTAGATTAAATTTACAGTAAATTCTGTAAAATTAAACTACAATACAAAATAAAATCCAGACTCAGTGTAACTTCATAGGACAAATCAAGTTACAGCAACAAAAAATTACAAAAGATAACAAAAGATAGAGGGGGAACCTATAGAGTAAAACAAGTCACAATGTATGAACAAGCACCTGGACCCTAATTCAAACAGTTAAAAAAAAAAATTGAGACAATCAAGAAGATTTTAACACTGGGTGAATATTTGAAGGTAATAAGGAATTTTGTGATAGCGGTATTTGTGTTTATCTTTCAAAAAGATGTGTGCAGCTATACACACCGAAATAGTCAACATTAAAGATGAAATGGTCTCTGGGGTTCAGTCTACAGACAACAGCGACATTAGACACGCGTTAGCTGCAGTAGCTGGATGAGGGTAAGGGAGGCTTATAATCATGACTATACTTTGTGTGAGAGACAAATTAAACAGGTAAAAATAAAGTGTAGTTAATCTCTAAGTTTCCTGTAATAATACTGTGTTTTTAAAATTAACTGTCAGAAACTATCAACAAAATAAAAAGACGACCCACTGAGACTGAATGAGACCATATTCACTGATACATCTGTTAAGGGGTTAATATCCAAAATTTATAAAGAACTTCTAAAACTCAACACCAAGCCCTGGCAGGTGTGGCTCAGTGGACTGAGTGCCCGCGTGTAAGCCAAAGGGTCGCCGGTCGGATTCCCAGGCAGGGCCCAGGCCTGGGTTGCAGGCCAGGCCCCCAGGAGGGGGCACCCGAGAGGCAACCACACAGGGATGTTTCTGTCCCTCTTTGTCCCTCCCCCCTTCCCCTCTCTCTAAAAATAAATTTTAAAAAGGTATTTTTTAAAAAACTCAACACCAAAAAAGAACCCAATTAAGGACAGGGGTGGCCCACAGACATATGAAAAGGTGGTCCACATCACTCATCCTGAGAAATGCAAATTAAAACCACAGTGATATCATCTCACACCTGTCACAACGGTGAGCGTCAACAGATCAACAAACAACAGGTGCTGGCGCCAATGTGGAGAAAGGGGGACCCTCTTGCACTGCTGGTGGGAATGCAGGCTGGTGGACCGCCTCCAACAATTAAGGATGGATCTGCCGTTGGACCCAGTGATTCCACTTCCGGGACTACGTCCGAAGGAGCCCTACACACTAACTGGACCGCACACCAGCGCCCCGTGCTCACTGCAGCGCTCTGAACCACCACCAAGATAAGGAAGCGGCCCAAGCGCCCGTCGGTGGATGAGGGGCTACGGCAACTGTGGGACACTGACGCCATGGGGTTCTCCCCTCGTCCCCGAAAAGGAAGACAACGTCGCCCTTCGCGACAGCGCGCACCGACCTGGAGGGCATCACGCTAAGTGAACTGAGCCCATCAGAGAAAGACAAATACCACGTGATGTCACTCACATGTGGCATCTAATGAACAACCTCAAGTAACAGGCAAAACAGAGAGAGACCCGGGGACGGAGAGCAGGTGCCGGCGGGGGCGGCGGCGGCGCGGGACTCGGGGCGCGGCCTGCGGGGCGGGGACTGCAGGGCCGGGGCCGGTAGGGGCGCCCATGGTCACGGAAAATACAATAAAAATTACCAAAAAAAACCTGTCACACTATTCAGTAATTGAGACAATAAAATTTTAGCGTTAGGTATTTGACTTTTTTAGTTTTAGGCGGTTTTAAAGCGTATCAGTTTTGACTTTTCTGACTCAATACAATGACCGCTTGAAGTATCAAAAACTAACGACCGTCTCCACAAGCAGCTTTTGCAGTACAGTCAGGAAAACAAAACCACCACCCAACAAAACCAGGCCGGTCTCCGACGACGTCAACGGGGTGAGAGGGGACACCGGCCAGCCCTCCACACGAACTGCATTTTGGAAGGAAAACCAGCCCCCGTCCGGGGCCGCGGCAGAGTTCGACGCGCGCCCGTCGGGAGCCGCCCTCGGCGCAGGGCGGGCGCCACCAGCCACACCACCTGCACCGCCGGGGAACTCATCAAAGCGACGCGCGGCCGCCCGCTTCCTCCAAAACAACTGCGCCGCGCTCGTCCCCCCCACGGACGAAGCCGAAGGGGCGCGTCAAGGTCTTGGAGTGTAGCAAACAACGTGCGCATCGCCGGCAGCGACTCGACGTGCACAAACGCCCCACCACAACCCCCGCGCGCCCCCGGCGCTGCCGGCCCGCCCTCCGCTCCGGCGCGGGGGGACCTCCCGGCCCGCGCCCCTCCCCGCCGGCGCCGCCGACGCTCGCAGAGCAGGCCGAGGGGGCCTCTCAGCGGCCTACTTCCGACCCCCACTACGATTTCCAAACATCTCACACGCAAAAAAAAAAAGAAAAGAAAGAAAAAAGAAAACCTTTCTGCAACAGCTCGCCAGCTTTGTGCACAGCCACCGGCTGCGAGCGGTCGGCGGGGATGCGACCACGGCCTCAGTCGCTCAGGCGCACGCCCGCACGGGCACGGAACCAGCACGTCCGGGTCCGCCAAGCGACGGACCCCGCGGCGAGCGCAGCGCGGGGACCCGGGCAGACACAGGGGCGCTGCAGGCAGGGGGCCCGCCCGGACACCTCCCAGCAAAGGGAAAGAACGCGGGAGCAAGGGGCCAGGGCGGCCCAGGGCTCGAAGTTCCGGGACAGCCCGCGGCCGTCGGCGGCAGGACCGGCCTTTCCCTTTCCGCAGGAACCGTCGTTTGAAAAGCCAGGGCTGCCCGGCAGGATGCGGAGGCCGCGACCGCCCGCATCTGTGCACGGAGGGGCGCCCTCCGGCGCCGCGCGGGCCCAGCGTGCGGGCCGGAGCCGCCTCCCCTCGCAGCTCCCCGGCCCCCCACGAGAACCCGGAGGGCCCCACGGGAGCCAGCGTGCAGGGCGGCTCGCAGAGCGTGGGCTCCCGCGCCGGGGTCAAGGCCGACGGCCCAGGGCGGGCCGTGCCAGCATCGCCGCCCGCTCGGCAGGCTGCAGGCCCCGCGGTCCGGCCTGGAGCCCCGGGCCCCGCCGACGCCGCCGCCCCTGCGCGCGGGCCTCACCTCACGGGTGAAACGCGGGCTGCGCGCGGGATTCCCAAGTCCGAGTGCGGCCGCCGCCCGTCGCCTCCAGCTCCAGCTCGGTCTCGGGCTCCGACTCCGCCCCCTGTCCGCCCCGCTCACCCGGCCAACAACTCCCGCACGCCCGCCCGGCCTCTCCGCCCCCTCAGCCCTCGGCGCTGCCCCGACCGCTCGAGTTGGGTGCGGCCTGCGGCGCCGCAGCCCAACAACGCGCCACCCCATAGGCGCAACCCGCCCTGCACCACCAAGCAACGCGCTCTACGATTGGTTGGCCTGCACGGTGGGGCGTGGTCTGGCGGCGGGGGCGGGGCTGTCGCCGCGACTCGCAGGGACCGGACTGGGCGCGGCCCCGCCCTCCCCGCGGACGGACGGGGGTCTGGCGTCACAGGTCGGCTGGGTACGGCGTGCGGACTGTGTCCGCTCTTCCGGAGGCTGAAGGGGGCCGGATCGGCTGTGTCGGCGGCGCCTTCTCACTCCGAGCCGCATCCCCTGGGCCGTTGTCATCGGCAGACTCTGGTGGAGGCCTTCTGCGGGCCCGGTTCGCGGGTTGCGCAGCCGGGCTTTCTACACGGTCCCATTTGCTAAAGCCGAGGCCGGACCTCTCCCTGCCCGCCTCGCCCACTCCTCCAGCAGCCGAACCTCCACCCCGAGAGCTCAGCTGGTTTCGGTCCAAAGCCTCAGCGGGCGGGCGCGTCCGCAGGCTGACCGCCAGGGTGCGGCCGGCGCGGCTGAGCCTGTGGACTCTGATAAGGCTCCGCAGGCGGGGCGGCTGCCTGGGGCCCTCGCCGGGTCTGCGGCCGCTGGGTGAACGAGCCCCAGTCACCTCGATCCGGGAACTGCCCATGACCCGGAGGCTAGCCTAGCGACCAGACCAGCACCTTCGCCCACTCTGCCCTTCCTGCTGTGTCGCCCAAGCCCCCAAAGGCCCAGAGGACAGCTTCCATGTTCCCTTTATACCCATGGGAAGCTGAGGCCCGGCGCTGGGCAGTGGAAGAACAGGAAGGAACCCACCCTGGCCTCCCTGCCCGGCGGAGACCTGGCTTTATCCACAGAAGGGTCGGAGGCATTGTCCGTGCAAAACAGGAACCCCTGATTCCGCCAGTCTCCTGGACGAGACTCGGCGACTCGTCTCATTCACATCTGCTTCCCTGGCACCCAGCAACAAGGCCTGGCTCACCAGAGGTGTCAGGAGGGGCCCGCAGAAGGACAGAAGAGGGTGGGAGGAGAAGACAACTGAGCCTGTTCAGTAGAGACAGAAGATGCAAAAAAGATGAAATCATCAGGGAGGTGTCAAGTACAGCTGAGGGAATACAGTCAATAATACTGTAATAACTGTGTGCTGTCAGATGGACCTTATCAGGACGATCACCTCGGAAGTTACATGTATAATCACTATGTTGTACGCCTGATACTAACCTAATGCTGTATGGGAACTGTCGTTGAAAAAAATGCTGAAGGATGTTATTTATTCCTTTCTAGAGGTGGGGTGAGGGGAGCGAAATAAAGGGAGAGAAACATCGGTGTGAGAGAGAAGCATCAATAGGTTGCCTCTTGATTGATCCCAGCTGGGGACCTGGCCTGCAACCCAGGCATGTGCCCTGACCGGGAATGGAACTGGTGACCCTTCGATTCACAGGCTGGCGCCAACCTGCTGAGTCACACCAGCCAGGGCTGACAAAAATGTTTGTTTCTAATTTTTAAAGACCGAATCAAACTTCTAGAGGTGAAAAATACAGTGAATAGGATGACCAGCAGATCAGACACACCCGAAGAAGAAAAAGTGAACTGGAAGCCGTGGAAAAGAAACCAAGTGAAACATGGAGCAAAAAGAGCCTAGAAGAGAATGGACGGAGAGCCAGTGACCTGGAGGGCGCCTTCAAGAGGCCTAATGGACGTGGAATCGGAGACCCTGGACTGGGAGGTATGGCTGGGAGGAAGATCGATGATACACTGTTTGAAGATACAATGGCTGATGTTTCCTTTTGCAAATTTGATGAAAGCTATGAAGCCACAGATTCAAGTAACTCAAAAAGTTACTCTGGCGTGCTCCTGGGCTCTGGTACAAATGGGGTGTTCCTACGGGACAAAAGCGACTGAGACCAGAATGGCCATTGCTTGGTCTGTCAAGCGACCAAGACATGAAGTCAGGCAGATGCCTCAGAATCTGGAAGTGACAGAGGCAGGAGTGGGTTCGCGTAGGTGCAGAGGTGGGTGGCCCAGCCACTGTCACCAATATCTGTGCCACAACACCTGTGGTCTTGGGGACCCGCTGTGCCAGCGATTCCATGCACGGCAATTGGCAGTCTTTTCTGGGCAGAGGGACAGGACCTGCAGACCCAGGGAGCGCGGAATGTGTGCATGGGAGGCGCCCTCCGAGGGACCGACTGCTGGGCCCCAGCCGGAGACACAGGCTGTGGCCCTCCCCTTGCTGCCCCTCCTCTAGGGACACTGACTTGGTTCAAATGCCAGCTCCGCCATTATTCCCTGTGTGGCCTTGTAGCCTCTAAGTCTCCCCTCCACAGCCCAATCCCAGTGGGCGCTGGGCAAGACACCCCTTGGACCAGCAGGGGGCATCCAGGCAACATGACCCACAGTAGGGTGGGGTCAGGGAGCAACCACAAGCTTATTTTGCCTTTCTGATTCTAAAGACATCTCTTTATAGTTAAAACAAAAAAACAAAAAAACCCTCTAATAACAGAAGGTATCAAGTTTCACTGCACAACTTCTGATCAAGTGCAGAAGGAAAACTGTCTGACCTGGGCTGGGAGAAGCTTCCCGAAACATCTGAGGCTCTCTTCTCAAGGCCAGGAGTGCACCGCACCTCTGAGCACAGGGCAATCTGGGCACACGAGTGGCTCCTCTCTGAGCCTGTTTCCCTGCCTGTAGGAAGCAGGAGCAGACAGCTCCTAGGGCAGGTCCTAGGCCTTCTGCTGGCTCATCCTCAAAAGTGAAGGCAAGTCAGTTTGGCTTCCCCCCACAGAGCTGTGGCCCTCAGCTGGGTGGCGGCACCCCCAGGACCCTGGGAGACAGACCACACACCAGACAGGAACTATCAGAGGCCGTGAGGTTGGTGGAGAGCCAGGCAGGGGCCAGGGCCCGGGCTCAGAGAACGGAAGGAGACCACATGGCAGCAAGTGGCAGAGCTGGGACTTGAATCCAGGCCTTGGCCTCAGCTTCTCACCAGTAAAATGGAACTAACAGCAGTGGCTCCTCCGAGCTACTGTCAAGTACCCAGCTCAGCGTCGTGAGCAGGACGTGCTCACCTGAGTGGTACACACCCTCCAACCCTAAATGAGGAATAGACCATTCACGGCAGGTCTCAGGAGGGAGTGGAACCCCTCTGGCCCCCACTTCACACTGGAGGACCATGCCTAGGACCCTACCCGCCACCCCCAACACATAGTCGTGAGCCCAGGGGCCATTCACAAAGAGGCGGACCCAGGGCCTGGGAGGAAGGAGGCCACGCCGGGCCCTGGGTGGACCTTGGGCAGCCACAGTCCTCAGCGGTACCTGTCATGTAGCTCCGGGCCCCAAGACCTTGAAACCTTCCAGCTCAGGTGTCTCCAAACATTTCACCCACTGCGTTGTCTCCAAGGCAGCCACACGCCAGCCAAAGCCACAGTGTCCTGTGTCCTGCTCCGTGTCACCAGCACGGAGGGGCCCAGGCCCTGGCCGGAAACCGCTCCTCTCGTCCAAGTCCCCATTTTAAAAAGTTACAGGAAAGAAAAAAGTTACAATGAAATAACACATTGCAGGAAGGAGAGCTGCAGCCCCAGCGGGGAACAGCATGCCTCCCTGGGGTCCCCAAGCGAATGCAGGGACAGGGACTGGTCGTTTTCCAGCCATGGCGCAGCACGCGGGAAGCTCCCTGCGCCCCAACTTCCGGGCGACTGCACCAGGCCTCGGCTCGGCAGGCTTCGCAGGAAACACCTGCGGGCAGTGCTGTGCTTGGTCCCTGGAAGCAGGTGGCCGTCGCCCCCACGGCAGCCCACAGCGTCCCAGGGCATGGCCTCCCACGTCAGCAGGCTGGCTGCCTGGCCCTGTCCCTTCCCTTCCCCAGCAAACCCGCACCCCACCCAGGACATGCCCAGATGCGGGGAGCAGTCCCAAGGGCCTTCTCCAGGGGAGAGTGGGCACACGGGCTGTCCTCAGTCTGGGCTTCTCACAGCAAATAGCTTTCCCAAACATGAAGTGCCATGAGGATTAGAGGATCCTGGGGTGTCTGCCAGCCCTGACCCCCAACTGAGGCTGTTTCTCTCACATCCCACATAACCAGCCCGGGTGGCCGTGCCAAGGAGAGGCCTGCTGGGACTCCATGGCAGGAGGCAAGGGATGGGCTGGGGGTGGGCCTGAGCCACCTGTGGCCCGAAGGACTCCGCTATCTGGGTGCCACCGCCCCCGCACCCTCGGATGACTCAGGGTCCACTCTTCCCGCCCCTCTGTCCGTAACAGTCGCTTCCTGGAGCCCCCAGCCGGACCCCGAGCTCTGAGCCCCTGCGCACCCCACTGCTCTGGGCGGCGTGTGCGGCGAGCACCTGCTGCCCAGCTGCCTTCCGGGAACCATGTGTTAATGTAGTGAACGACCCAAATGTGTGTGGTCCAGGTGGCAGCGGGAGGGACTTTAAGCGCTGCAGCCCCGCTGCCCTGGGCCTGGTGGTGGCAGCAGAACCTGGCACATCAGGGTGTGGGCTCTGTGCCCAGGCTGCTCAAGTGGGCCTCCTGCTCTGTTACCAGCTGTGCGCACAGGGCAAGTCACTTCGCCAGCCCTGCCCTGCAAGGGGGGGAGGCCACTTTCGGGGGTTCCTGGCACCCGAGCTGCTGCAGCTACCACCTGCACGTCCGTGCGGATACTCAGCAAGGCTGGTCCCCTCCTCCTTCCCAATGAAGCCCGGCCACCAAGGCAAATGTCGTCTGTGCTTTATTGTGCAGCAAAGGCCCCTCCTGGAGCCTGAGTCTTAGCGTTCCTGGGAGTCCCGGGGCCAACCCCTGCCCCAACCACAAATGCCCTAGCCCCCCCATGCCCAGCTCCCTGCCCAGGGCAGGGTGGGGACCAGAATTCCTGTCCATGAAGCCCAGCGGGGCTTGGTCCGGGGACCCTGGGCTGCTGGACGGTGAGACAGGCTGGTGGGGCGGGTTGGAGAGAGCCCCCAGCCCTCTGGAGCCCAAGGCTGCGCCCCGCCCTGAGGACCCAGCCTGCTGGGTAGGGCCTGGCCTGGCAGAGTCCACTGTCCCTCGGGCAGTCCTCAGGGCAGAGCTCCTCCTGCCCTGCAGGCCAGTCTCTTCTGCGCCGGCTGGGCGGTGGCCTCAGGTTGCCTCTGCTCAACAGCGCAAGGGTGTCACCTGGGCCCGGCGTAGCCGTAGGGGTGCTGCAGCAGCAGGCTCTGGTGGCTGGGCAGCGGGTGGGTGTGGTAGTGCTCCACCAGGCTGCCCACGTTCACAAACAGGACTTCGCCCTCCAGGTAGAATTTAGAGTCCTGTGGGGCAGGGGGCAAGCGCAGGGGGCAAGGTCGGGGGGCGGCCAGCCTTCCCCTCCCTGCAGAACGGGGCAGTCGCACCGACGGCAGGTCTCCTCCCGCTGCCCCGAGCTCCAGGCTCACCGCCCCCCGCTCCGCCCTGGGGGTTGGGGGCGCAGGCCAGGTCTGTTGGTCTGTCCAGGGTCCACCACTGATCGCCCCACCCCCTTGGCAAAGAGTGGGGAGGCTGAGGTAGCGAGGGAGGAACGGCACCCGGGGGTGCCAGCCTCAGCCCACCGGCCTGCACTCCACAGCTCCGCCCCAGGCCCGGTCTCCTCCCACCCAGGACCCTCCACCTCGCCAGCCTGCGCACCTTCTCAAAGATGCGGTAGTTCCTCACTTTGTTGGAGGTCTCGTCCCACACGACCAAAACCTGCAGGAAGAAAAGCAGGCAGCAGCGGAGGGCAGCCCGACCACAGCTCCGACCCCGAAAGCGGGGCTTCAGGGACCCAGGGTGAGCGGCGTCAAGGCTGGGCCCTGTGGCCCTCGCGGTGACGTGGGGAGGGGCCGCCCTGCACACACACACACACACCCGGGCATCCCCCGGGCACCTACCTTCCCCGACTTGGTGGACGAGTTGCGGATGCAGTAGAGTCCGTCCTGGGGCTCTCCCCGGGGGCTCGTGGCTTTGAACAGCCTGAAAGAGTCAGCAGGTGAACCGTCCGCAGGGAGCTCTCTCGGGGGCGCGCCAGCCCCAGGCCCCAGCAGAGCCCTGGGCCACAGGGTGACAGCCAGCCACAGGACTGAGCTGATGGCACCTGTTGTTCCTCTACATTTCCAGCCACTCTCGACCGTGTGCTTGTGCCACCAACGACCCAGCCCCAAGGTGAGCGGGGCACAGAAGAGCAGAAAGAGCCCTGGCTGGGTGGCTCAGTGGATTGAGTGCTGGCCTAAGAACCAAAGGGTCGCCAGTTCGATTCCCAGTCAGGGCACACGCCTGGGTTGTGGGCCAGGTCCCCAACAGGGGGCACACAAGAGGCAACCCCACATGGATGTTCCCCTCCTTCTCTTTTTCTTTCCCTCCCCTTCCCTTATAATAAATAAATAAATAAAATCTTAAAAAAAAAAAGGCAGAAAGACAGGGAATCTCATATCTACAAAAACAAGGCTTTGGAGAAAGAAGGGCTCCCCACTGACCTCTCCACCTCGTAGGATTCCGTGGTGTTGACAAAGACCGAGCTGGGAAGTGGCACCTGGAGAGAGGTCGGCGGTCAGTGGCAAGGTGTCCACCAAGTGCGGGACCAGCACCCCTCTCCATCCGCCCCCGGCTGCCGGCCTGTGCTGAGCCCCCAGGCTCTGCACCGCATTCTGTCCCCTCAGCTCCAGGGTCCTGGGGGCTCCTGGCTCAAGGCGGCCAGTGCGGGGCCCCCGGCCAGCAGCCCCCGCAGCTGCTCGCCCGCCTGCCCACAGCTGGGCTCCCCTGGCCGCCTTGCCTTCTCATAGTCCTCATCAGAGTCCTTCCCGCCGGTGTCGGCCTGCGGTGCCTCCGCCTGGGAGGGCAGGCGGGTTTTTTCAAAGGAGAAGCTCCTGAAACTCTGCCCATCGGGGGGCGATCGCCTGGGAGGGGGGCAAGAAGCAAGTCATGTCTCGGTCACACAGGGCGGTGCCCCTTTGCTCCCCTCCACAGCACACCTGGGCACCCTCTGAGGGACCGCACCAGGCCCAGCCTTGGAGCCCACTGGGTCTGGGTGCTCCAGCCCGCGGCCGGGAGAGGCCCAGGATCACGGAGCCCGTGCGGGCCGCCCTGAGGGCGCAGGAACCGCCTGGGAGCGGGAGCCCTGGGCTGGGGCCAGGGCTGAGCGCGCCCCTGGGAGGGGGCGCTGGGGGCCGGAGCTCCGGTGCCATCACACTGCGGACAAGCGGTCAGGACGCTGTAGCAGGAGGCCCGGGCTGGAGGGGTCTCAGCCCGGACGCTGCCACTGACCAGCCTTGTGACCACGCGTCCAAGTCCAGGGCAACTCACACCCCCGCCAGAGCCATAGTGTGGAGGGATGACTGTGAACAGGCCACGCCCCCGCGTGTGGCCCAGCAGCCTCAGGGAGAATTCAAGGAGGCCACACGGGACAGGCTGTGGACAAAGGGCCACGGCGCTCAGGCCCAGGCCAGGGCAGAGTGACCCCGGCCGCTCCACTGCGGCCCCTCAGGAACCGGAGGGGTGAATGCGGCGAAGGGCGCTCCCGGGCGCTTCCCCGGGGGGCAGGGCGGACAGGAGCCCCAGGGAGAAGGGGGCCGCAGCTGGGGGTGTCCCGGGAGCCCTGGTGCAGCGCACCCACCCAAGGCCCACCCCTGCGGCTCCCGGGCCTTCCCTGTGGGTCTGCGGCACCTTTGACCACAGGCTGTCAACACACAATAAAGCAGAAAACAGTGGAGCAGGACTCACGAGTGAGTCACAGCCATGCTCCACATTCCGGCAAATTCCCGAGCAGGAAGGGAACAAAGGCAGCTTTGGTGGCTCCAGAGCCAGGGACACACCCCGAGCCCCAGGCAGGGTCTGAAGGCTCCCAGCCCAGGGCCCCCCGCCCCCCGCCCCAAAGGCCCTCTCTCGGCCCAGCAGGAGCTCTGGAAGCCTGGTGTCCCCAAAGTGCCCCTCGCACACGGATCCCCAAGGCAGCCACGGGCTCCAGGCCCGCCACCCCCGGGGGGAACTCCTCAAGGATGCGGCTGGACACCCCCGGGACCCCTGGGTCAGGTGCAGAGCCGGCCGCTCGGCCTAGACAGGGCCAGGGCTGCGCCGACGGCCCCCAGCCGCGGGCTGAGTGCCGGGGAGGGAGGCCGGGTGGGCGGGGGTCCCAGAGGCACCGACGCCAGCAGACTCACTGGAGGTGAGGGTGGGATGGCTTCTCTGGCCTGGGCAGGACCGCAGGCCGGGCTGCGGCCTCCACCACGGGCAGCTTCAGTGCGGGCGGCCTGGGGCCCAGCGGGGGCACGTAGAGTCCGGGCTTGGCCGCCTCCCGCAGTGGGGCCTCTTCAGCCACCATCAGGAACTTGGGCTTGTTGGCCGGCACGGGCGGGGGTTCAGGCGTGGGCGGCCCCCGGGGGGACAGGTGGAAGGACTTGAGTTTGTCACAGTTCCTGGAGGCAGCCCCGGGGCTGGGGATCCGTGGCTCCAGGCCAGGGCTGCTGCTCTCAGGGAAGCACAGGGGTTTCCGAAGGTTGGGCACGTGAGGCAGGTTGCTCATCGGGGGGTCGCTCATCCTCCGGGAGGCAGCAGGCACCCGGGGGCCAGGCTCCCCCCGCCTCGGGGCCAGCAGGTCCCTCTTGGAGTCCTCAGGCACCGGGCCAGTGTCGGGGAGGCTGCGCTTAGGGGGCGGGGGCGGCAGCAGGGGGCCCGGGCCCTTGGAGATGAAGGAGTGGGCCCGGGGCACATCGGAGAAGGCTGGCCTCCTGGCCACGGGCACGGGAGGCGGCGGGTAGGCCGGCGGGTGCGTCAGGGTGTCTGCAGAGCAAACGGCCCCGTGGGTGAGCAGCATCGCTGCTGGGGGCTGGACTGCACCGCCCCCTCGAAGCCCCCGCCCCGCGGCCAGGCCCCCGCCTGTTCTCCGCCCCAGAGCTCCCCAGCCACCCGCTCGCCACCTACCCTCGGGCCTCCCGGGCTCGGGCGAGTCCGGCTCCAAGTACGAGTCGTCCTCGTCGTCCTGCTCGTAGTCTGTGGGCAGACAGCGCTGATCAGGGGCCGGGCCCAGCTGCTCGCGGGGGCGGGGGCAGGGGCGGGGGCAGCACCACAGGCTTCTGGCGAGGCCGCCGGAGGGCACCGGCAGCGCAGCCAAATCTGCCTCCCGTCCTGGGCCGCAGGGCCAGGCGTGGGGAGGCGGCGGAGGGCGCAGCACGCCGAGATGCGCCTCACCTTCGTTGTCCGTGGGGTACGAGGAGAGGCTGATGTCCACGGGCCGCTCGATTGCGCCGTAGAAACTGTCCGTGTCTGAGCTGGAGTCGCTGGGTGGGGAGGCAGGCGGGGCCGGTCAGTGAGCGCAGGGCTGGGGCCCCTTTGCGCTCACACGTTTGGACACACCTGCACACACGTGGACACGCAGACACGGGCAAACACAGGCACACGCGCGCACTCAGACACACTGATGGGGATGTCAGCACCGATAAACTCAAGGACACACGCAGGCCTGGAATCACGGGTAAACACGAATGGGGCCAGGCGGGCACGCACACACAGCCACACGGAGGCGTTCGGGCGAGGCTGCCAGGGCCGGCACGGGGGCAGGGGCTGTGGTGGCGCCCCCACCTACGGTTCTTGCCACAAGTGTGGCCCCGACGGGTCAGATGCTGCCGGGCCTCAGGGTCCCTGTCCCCACCTGCTCCTGCCCCGGGGCCGTGCCCAGCCGGCCCTCTCTAGGCCGAGCCCACTGAAGGACGCCAGCCGGGACCGAGGGCCAGGAGCTCCGGGCGCGGGGAGGGGCCTGCGGGGCGACCTCTCGTGGGCCAGGCCGTCTCAGCCTTCTCTATGGAAGGACGGGGTGGTTTCTGGTCTGCCCAGAGGGCTCTGCCTCCTGGCTGGGGCACCGCACAGCGAGGTCCCGAGACCTAGATGGACTCGCTCTGGTCTCACTCCTGAGCCAGCAGGGTGGACACGGGGCAGGGGGTACCCAGAGCTCTGAGCTGCTGCAAACGCTGGGCCTCCTGACTGGACAGGTAAAAGCATGTGACCCCTAAAAAGGAACTACCAACATGGGGCACGCACACACACAGGCTTGCACACTCAGGTGCACACACATACAGGACCAGCCCCTGGGGACACACACGTGGCCTCCAGAAGAGCCTTCGAGGACAGGCTTCTGAGCCGGGCTCCTGGGGCCAGGAGGCAGGTGCCTGTGCAAAGCCCAGGGCCCCCAGCGCCACCCGCTCACTCGCCCGGCACAGCCCCAGGCCCACCTGGTGTCCGGAGGCACCTCCTTCTTCTCGTGGAAGTGGCCGATCTCCCTGCGCAGCAAGGCCATCCAGCTCTGTGGGTCAGCCACAGCCAAGGTGGGCACGTGCTGCCGGGGCCTTGGACCCGCTGGCCTGCCGTGCCCGCCAAGGTCGGGGAGACCACCCCCCATTCAGGGCTCCGCCCAAGGGCACATTCTGAGACTCTGGGTGGGAGGCCAGGGCCTGGGGGCAGCGTCCGCCCCACTGCCACGTGCCGGCCGGGTGCCCGCGGCCCCCAGCTACCTTGCGTTCATCCTCGGAGGAGGCTGAGAAGAACCACGTGCGGTGCTTCTTGCTGATGTGGATGATCTTGAAGGGGAAGACGTTGTTGGACGTCGTCTCCTCCGCCGCCCGCATCACCCTGAGGGCGCAGACCCAGGGCTCAGTGGGGCCCCGCCCACGGGGCCGCCCGGCCCCTGCACAGGCCCCAGCGCCCAGCTCCGGGCTCTGAGGGACACGGGCTGATCCGGACGGCCAGGCGAAGGCCGAGGGGCTGGCGGCGGAGGGAAGCGTGGGTGCCCGGGCCGGCAGTGGGGCGGCGGCGGCTGGGGAGCGGCAGCACGTGAGGCTGCGGGACACGGCCGCTTCTCCCTCGCGGCCCACGACCGGCCGCCACCTTCCACCTCAGGCCCTGCTTGCCCTGCTGTCTTTTCTTTTTTCCTTAAAACACAGGTACTTTTTTTTTTTACTTCTTTTTACAGAGAGGTGGAGGGAAAGGGAAAGAGAGAGACGTGAAAGAGAAACATCAACTGCTTGCCTCTTGACCGGGGACTGAACCCGAGCGGGAATTGAACCGTGACCTTTTCGGTGCCTGGGCTGACATGCCAGCCACTGAGCTACACCGGCCAGGGTGCCCCTGTTGACTTGAGAGCATTCTGAGGAAGTGACTCACTGTGGTCGCTCGCCCAGCCACGAGGGTATGGGGTTTGTACAGAGATCGCAGAGACTAGCAGGGGGTCCCTGCCAGGCCGGGAACCTTGGGCAGATGTGCCTACGTAGCCCGTAAGGGGGCCCGGGCCGCCCTTGGCCCAGGCTGTACCCCCACCAGGCAGGAGGTGGCGAGTGTGAGGAAAGGAGACGCCCCTGCACAAGCGACCCCGGAGCAGCCACAGGGCCCTGGGGTCGCCCCGGCTCCTCGGCAGTCCCCCAGCCAGCCTGTCCCTGGGCGGGGGGTTTGGGCAAGGCTCCCCCACTGAGCTAGTGGCTGGGGTCGGGTGGGAAGGCTGGGAGCCACTCCCTGAGAGTCACAGTCCCACCCGTGAAACCATGGGACCCTCAGTCTCTCACAGGCGGTGGGACAGACCCTGCCGGGAAGCTGAGAAGCACAGGCCAAAGCCATACAGCCCTGGCGCCCGCGGGACCCTGCTCTGCCCGGGTTGGGGCGAGGGGGGGTGCTGGGAGTAGCTGGCCGCGGGCGCGGCAGAGGCGGGCGCGCACTCACCGGTTGTAGCCGTTCAGCGAGAAGGCGCCCTGCGGGGAGGCGGACGTGCTGCTCTTGAAGTAGTAGATGCATCGCTTGTGGATGATGACAAAACGCAGGGGCCCTGCGGGCAGCGGGGCCAGGGTGGGGTGAGCACCTGCGGGGGGCCGCTGGGCAGACCCCACTCGGGGGGCCCTCCGCTGGGGCTGTGGGGGACGGGGCGAGGCTTCAAACTCCCCTGGGTGGCAGGGCAGGGAGCCGGGCTGGCACACGGGCCTCGCCCCAGGAGTCTGCCACGGGGTCAAATGCAGACACCATCACGGGCCTCATGGGCAGCCCCCGGAGGGGGCCGCGTTGGGGCTGGCTGGGCTGAGCCGCCACAGCCCCCAGGGACCAGAGCTGCGAGGCTGGCTCCAGGAAGGGCAGAGCCAGGTCCAGGGGCCCAGGGCGGCCACGGCCACCGTGCCGGGGGCTGCAGGGCTGCGGGGAAGTCCCTTCCACCCCAGGCTGGCACCGCGAGGGATGGCGCACGGAACCCCAGAGAGCTTGCCAACAGGAGCCACCAGCGCGAGCCCCCTGGGAGCAGCCCCTCTGAGAGCCCCGCGCTCCACAGCCCCACCCCCGAGCAGCCCTCCCAGGCCGGGGGCGGGGCAGGTCCCTGCGGCCCACCCTCGGAGACTTCCTGTCTGAAGACCCTGGACCGGCTGGTGCCCAGAGTCCAGGCAGCACGGGGCAGAGACACGGCCACCAGGGCTGCTCGGGGGTGGGCAAGGCCTGCTGCTCTCTGTCCTCCAGTGTCTGGCCAAGTGGGCATCTCCCACTTACCTGGGGGCTCCCTCCGGCTCCCCTCCTACTCCCCACCCGCTCCCCGAGGGCCAGAGCCCCGGTCTCCCGCAGCTCTGGAGGCCTCCGCGTGGCAGACAGGGTCACTTCAAACCCGGTGACAAGCCCACTCGCTGAACAGCCGCCAGAAAAGGCAAGGGCGCAGCCCCAGCACCAGACGGAGGCCCCACGCCGACTGGGCCGCTCTCACAGCCCCGTGGGCTGAGGAGGCCCCCCAGGTCTCCCAGAGGGCGGCGGCCACCAGGGACGGAGGGCAAACGCTGGAGGGCGCACCGTGGAAGGGACGGCAGGCTTGGCCCCACCCCTCGTCCCCACATCCCCCCGCCGTGCGCCCCCACAGGGGACTCACATTTGAGCAGCTGCAGCTGGGTGCCGCCCTTCTTGTGCAGGTAGCCGGCCTTGGCCACCCCCCCGGGCATGGTCAGCAGGTTCTGGGCACCAATGGCCTTCATGGGGACGGGCCAGTGCATCTCCTCAGCTGCCATGAAGCTGCAATAGAAGGGGGACGTCTCAGCCAGACGCGGGGGACAGGAGACACGCGGGGGGCACGGCCAAGACCCTGGAGGCAGCAGGAGGCCCAAGGCAGTGAGAGGTGAGAGCGCTCCTGCTGAAGGCCCGGGCTTCGCGGCAGGAGCCCCGGGCACCAGGGCCCCCCGGCCCACTCGGTCCGCCCCGGGCCCGCCTGGCCACATAGCCAACCCCTAGCGACCCTGACAGCTACCTGCACTTCTTCGTTGTCACTGGTTCACTCAGCATACACCTGCTGAGCTCAAGGTCCCAGGGGGCCGGGGTACAACAGCGAATGAACTCAGGAAACAACTGCCCTTGGTCAGTCAGCCTTAGGCTGTGACCATCCAAGTCCAAGCCTAGGTCAGCCGCTAATGGGGCCCGCCCTAGATGGGAAACTCAGGGAGGGCTTCCAGGAGGAGGTGACGAGAGTCACAACCTGAAGGAGAGGGTCAAAGAGGTCCAGGGCCTGCCCAGGGCACCCTCTCTACCAGCTCTGAGCTTCAGCAGGGAGGGCCATAGCCCCTAGGCACCCAAGCCGCCACTCCAGAGCCTGCCCTTAGCTGGCTTCTAGCCCGTCTTCCTTCCTTCTTTCCTTCTCTCTTTCTTTTTTGAAAGAGAAAGGGAGGGAGAAAAACATCAACATGCTGTTCTACTTATTCATGCATCGCTGGTTGATTCTTGCACGTGCCCTGAGCGAGGATCGAACCCATGACCTGGGCGTATCGGGACGGCTCTCCAACCAGCTGCACACAGGCAGGTCCAGTCCATCCCTCTCTGAAGGCCCTGAGCCCAGGGAGCAGGACAGCAGGCAGGCAGCCAGGAGCCCACAACTCCCGGGGCAGCCCGCCTGGGCTCCTCTCCTGGCCTGGCCTTCCGGGGGACCCCTACGCCACAGCTCCTGGGGCTGTGAAGCGGGAGGACAGAGCAAACACAGAGTGGCACCCAGCCGCCCTCCGCCACAGCACCCGCGCAACAGCCTGGGCGGCACTCGGGCAGGCACCACACTGCACACCGTCACCAGAGACAGGCTGACGGTGTTGGGGTTACCCCAGGCCCACAGGACGGCATCTCCTCCAGCCCCCTACTCAGGGTCCAGCAGCTGCACACTTCCAGCCTCACCGCTACCCCTGCTCGCCCTTCAAGACCCAGATTCGGGGTCCCCTGGTCCGTGAGGCATCTCCACACCCCATCACATCTGGGGTCCCCCGCCCTGTCTCTCTGAACAGCACCCCCCAACCCTGCACTGTTATGTTTGTGCCTGCCCCCACCCAAGCCGGGCCTGGTCCTTCCTCGGACCGCGGCAGGAGGGGCGGAGGTGTGTGGTCAGTAGTGGAGCCCGTAGGGGCGCAGGTAAGGGCAGACCTAGAGGTCCAGCCCCGCTGGGACTTCGGCCACTTCGGCCCCATCCCCGAAAGCACAAAGAAACCCACTCTGCTCTAGGAAAAGCAGCACCGTCCATCAAATGCTCCCCGCCCGCGGGCCCGGGCTGCCCTCGGCCTCTGCCCAGCCGCGGTGCCTCCGGCCGCCCACCGCACCAGAGTCCCACCAACAGCCAGGGCAGCGAACAAAGCGCGGCCCCCGCGCCGCGCCGCCCGGCCGGGACGGACCCGCGCCCACGCTCGCCCCCCGGTCGCTGCTGCAGGCTGACAGGCAGGCAGGCAGGCAGGCGCGCGCCCCTCCGGGAGCCCCCGACCCGCCCGCCGACCCCGGACGGCCGACGCCCGCCTTTGTTCTCGCAGGAAGCGCTGGCCCGGTCCGGGCTCGGTACTCACGGCGGCCACGCGGCGGGCACAGCCAGCTTCCGGGGGACGGCCCGCCGGCCCTGCGCGCACCGGCACGGCCCTGCGCCGGACGACCCCGCCGCCTCGCCCCCGGCGCCCGCCTCCCGCCGGCCCCAGCCCCGCGGCCAGAGCCCCGCGCCCGCCATGCCGCCGCCGCGTCCCCGGTCCCGAGCCGCCCCGCCCTGTGGACCGCCCCCTGCCCCGCCCCGCCCCCCGGGGCAGGTGAGGAGCCCCGCCCCCTGTGCGGGCAGGTGAGGCGGACCGCCCCCCACCGCGCCCGCCCCCGCCCCCTCCCGCCCCCCGCCGCTCCAGAGGGGCTCACACAAACGCGAATCCTCCGCAAACCCTTGCAAAACCAGAAGAGGAAGACACTGGCTCGCGCGGCAGCACCACCCAGGCACCGAGAGCGAAGGCCCCGCGGACAGGGGCGTGCGGGCAGCCGCCCGGGAGCGGAACGCGGCACCAGCCCCGCGCCCGACGCAGCAGCGCCGCGCCAGGCCCGTCCGCGCCGCTCGCTCCAAGCCTGCGATGCGCTGTATCAACCCTAAGAGGGACAAAAGCCACGTGGCAGCCTCAGGGAAAAAAGCCTTAACAAAATTCAACAACTCTCACGACTGCTACACCACTCAAGGAACCAGGAAGCAGCCTCGCCCGGTAAAAGGCAACTGGGGAAAGCCCAGGGCTCGCCGCCCGCGCCTGGTGAAGGCGGGACATGTTGCCGGAGGCGGCCACGGGCCAGGCGGGCGGCCGCTGTCCTCGCTGCTACTCAGCGTGGCCCTGGAGGGTCTAGCCAGTGCAATTAGGCAAGAAAAAGAAAGAAAGGGCACACAGATGGGACAGGAAGAAGTTAAACTTCACAAATTGGATGACTGTTTACAGAAAATGCCAAGGAATCCACTGCAAATGATTAGAACTCGTTGCGGAGCCAGCTCCGTAGCAGGGCACAAAGCCACAGTATTCCTGTGCACCGGCAAGGACCAGTCCAAAAATGAGATGAGGTTTAGCGCGAGTGTGCCCTCTTTCAGGCAGGCGTCCCTGACCCCGCGGGCCCTGAGTCCCTCCACGGGTCTAGCACGGCCCCTCCAAACTCTGTCCACAACATGTTGTCACGGTCCCCCGGCCCTCGCCAGCTCAGGCGCACCACAGCGTGGCATCCAGGGAGCCCCGAGGAGGTGCAGAGCGCCCTCGTCAGCGGAGTGCGTGCCCCCCACCGGTCAGCCGACCAGCCCGTGTGAGGGGGCGGCATCTGCCCCCAGAGTTGGGGGTGGACTAGTGCAGGCTCCTGGCTCCACCCAGGGAGGAGTTTGGTGGCCAGGCTGGCGAGGGCCCCCACTCTCGCCTGGCCACTGGCCTTCGCTGGGCACGCCGCACACTCCAGGGGGCCACTGACTGAGCTTGGAGAGGGGGTGACAGGGTGAGGCTGTACCCCACTTTCGCCTCCCCAGGGATGTTCTCGCTTCAGGGACAGATGCCAACCTCGCAGTCCCCCTGCAGAAGGTGGACCGCCCAAGGGAAGCCCGTCCTGACCCCCCAATGTTGTCTGGCCACCAGTGGCCTGCCCTGCCCCGCCCCGCCCCGCCCCGGGGAGTGCTGGGTGCGCTGGCACCTGACCGGAAACCCAGAGCCCTGCCAGGCTGAAACAGAAAGGGGAAACGGTGGCCGCGGGCGAGGCCGTAGCGGCCAGTGACCACGCAGTTTTGGGGGACTTCCAGACTCCTGCTGCATCGGTGCCCGGGAAAGTTGAGGGGACTCCCCAAGGGGCGCCCATCCTGCTCGGACGGCCTGGCCTCCCTGGATGTCGCTCCCGTCCCAAAGCACCACCCCAGGCCTGGTGACCCGAAAGGTAAACGCCACTCCCCCCAGGGCCCCCACAGGCCGTCCTGCCAGCTCACCGCAGGGAGCCCCCGCGCCCTTCTCGAGGGGGACACCCCGGACCCCTCCATGCGGCCAGGGCTGCCTGCTGAGCCACCCTGGCTGGGAGCTGTCAGGGACAGAGCGGGAGGCCTGGGTTCACGTCCTGCCACGCCTGTCCTCCAAGGAGCCTCTGCTTCCTCCTGGGTAAAGGGGGCATTGTGAGGGCACTCCCCAGGGCGCCCTGACAGCCAGCAGCACAGTGACAAGTCCGTTCCCCCGGGGACTGCAGCCGACCCGTGAGCCAGCAGCAGATGCCGCGCGGCAGCTCCGCGAGCCCTTCCAGCACGTGTGTGCGCACCTCGGGCACACCCTCGGTCTCTGCTCCTGGGCTCACCCCCCGCCCCTCTCGACGTCGAGACTGGTCTGCGAGAGGAGGCCAAGGTGCAGGGCAGGGACAGAGCCGGCAGGTGGAAACCGCCCGTCAGAGTCTGGGAAATGCAGGCTCCGCCAGCGGTGGGGCTGCGGCCCCGAGGGCCTGTGCTCCTGACCGCATGCTGACAGCGGTCAGTGACGCGGCCGCAGCGCGCCATGGGGCCCGTGAGAGCGGGGCGTGCATCGGTGAGTGTGCACGCGTGTGGAAGGGCGTGAACCTCTGCACGGGAGCGAAGCCGGGGCTCTGGTGGGGGCAAACCAGGCTGTGGTGGCGCGGGGGGGGGGGGGGGGGGAGGCCGGCGGCTCCAGCGACCGCGCAACGTCAGCGAGTTCCTGGCAGTGGCAACCAGGAGGGCCGGGGTGGGGGGGCCCCCGCAGGGCAAGGGAGCGCTCACACACACTCACACTGACGCGCGCGCACGGACACGGGTGCCCGCAAGCACGTTCGTACACAGGCCTCATTCTCAGGCACACTCGCACTCATCCGAATGCACACGCTCGTTCACATGCTCGCAGGTTCGCACGCGGCCTCCAGGGCCTGTGGGCGCCCCGGCCAGCGCGCGGGCCCTGGTCGGAATCACCGCCTCCCCGCCCTGCGCCGCCCGGGCCGGGTGAGCCTGCAGCCCAGCACACCCACAGGCTCCCCGCCTCCCCCCTCACCGGCCAGGCCCCGAGGCCAGAGGGGCTCGGGCCTCACCCCAGGCGCACAGGGCACCTCACATCATCGCCTCCCAACCCCCACCGGCGAACGTCACCCCCACATCACTGATGACGACACCGAAGGAGCTGAGCAACTTGCCCAAAGTCACACGGCTGGCAATGGTGGGCGCCCTCCCCCACCCCCAGGGCAACCACACCCCCAGCTGGCCGAGGGGGTGCCAGGGCCAAGGGGTGACAGCTGCCAGGAGGGGG